AATATTGCTAATTTAAGAAAATCAGACATCAATTCTTGTGGCTGTAAATCTTTCCTCTCACTGTCTAGTTCGTACAAGTTGCTATCAGAGGATGTGAGGGAGGATGTGCCGTCACAGTGAAAGCAGAGCTATTGTTTGGTTCTATGTAACAAGAATGGACAAATTGGAACTTCTTTTCCAGTCTTGTCCTTTCACACACACTCCCCACTCCACCCAGCATCTGGTAGAAACTGGCTTGTTCTCTATGACTGTCATTTCCCATCAGATATGACCCAGGAGTTTACTGGTGTCACTTTCAGTTTTTGTGATTTACATTGAACTCTTCAGAATTCAGAGTGAAATGCTCCAGAACGTTAATTTCATGTGAATGTTGAAAACATGCAGACCTTTTAAGAAACTATTAGTTTAGACCTGCTCACAAAATAAAATGTCTAAACCTTCAATGCTGCCCTTCTGTATTCTCCATCTCCTTCCTTTTCACTGGAAATTAATATTTAACTTTGATCTACAAAAATCCATTAAAACTCATCTATCTATACAGTTTATTTTTTAAATTAATTTTTATTGGAGTATAGTTGATTTACAATGTTGTGTTAGTTTCAGGTATACAGCAGAGTGAGTCAGTTATACATATACCTATATTCACTCTTTTTTAGATTCTTTTCCCATATATGTCATTACAGAGGATTGAGTAGAGTTCCCTGTGCTATACAGCAGGTCCTTATTATCTATTTTATATATAGTAGTGTGTATATGTCCATCCCAATCTCCTAGTCTGTCCCTCCCCCCAGTTTATTTTATTTTCGATGATTTTTCTATGTGTACATGCACCCTGGAAGCCATAGATCTGTCTATCTGTCTCTGGTTTTTATGTGTTACTTGGGTGGGAAAAAAATTGACTCCCCTAGCGTGCGTGCACACACACGCACAGGCACACATGCGCGCGTGCACGCTCGGGCGTGAAATACTAACACTTGCTGCCAGCCGAGCCTCTACAGGGCGTTAAGAGCATCAGTTAGAGCAGTCTAGGTTAGAGCCCCTCAGTTCTTCTCTTTGAGAACCTCACTGATGAGGTTCCTGTCATTTGTTTGGTTCATCCATTGAGGAGCAGGGCTTAAATCCACGCATCTGCTGTAACATCACATCTACTTCTGGCCCCGTGGCAGGCAGGAGGGAGGCGCCAGGAGCCGTCCACTGCCTGTCACCACCTTCCCCACCCTCTTCCTCTCCCTGCTCCAGCACTAAATTCACTTTTTCCTTTTTTTCTCCGTCTGAGAGTCTGTCCTTTTTTTCCCTGGGAGATGAGCAGTGATTCAGACAGGGCATCCCCAGCCTGATGGCTGCGGCTGGCAGAGGGCATCCGCCTGTCCCCAACTTGGCCAGTGACTGCAGACCACCACCACCCCCCCCAGTCCTTTTTCTTCCCTTTGGTGGTTTAAAGGCAATGTGTCCTGGGCATCCATAGCCTAGGAAAGTTGCTCAGAAAAGAGGACATATGGGGCAGACACAGAAGAACAAGCAAGAATGTTTGAAAAGCTGAAATTTTTAGGTTTTGAGGAAGTGTGTTTAAGGTACCATCACCTAAAAATAAAAGGGGAAAGTTGGCGTTTAAATAACTTAGTTCAAGCAGAAAATAATGATTTTTTTTTTTTTTTTTTGCCGTACGCGGGCCTCTCACTGTTGTGGCCTCTCCCGTTGCGGAGCACAGGCTCCGGACGCGCAGGCTCAGCGCCCATGGCTCACGGGCCCAGCCTCTCCACGGCATGTGGGATCCTCCCGGACCGGGGCACAAACCCGCGTCCCCTGCATTGGCAGGCAGACTCTCAACCACTGCGCCACCAGGGAAGCCCGAAAATAATGATTTTTTAAAAATATGTATTTATTTTATTTTTGGCCGCATTGGGTCTTCGTTGCTGCATGCGGGCTTTCTCTAGTTGTGGCGAGCGGGGGCTACTCTTCGTTGTGGTGCGGTGGCTTCTCTTGTTGCGGAGCACGGGCTCTAGGCGCACAGGCTTCAGTAGTTATGGCTCGCAGGCTCAGTAGTTGTGGGACACGGGCTTAGTTGCTCTGCGGCATGTGGGATCCTCCCGGACCAGGGCTCAAACCCGTGTCCCCTGCATTGGCAGAGGGATTCTTGACCACTGTGCCACCAGGGAAGCCCAATAATGAGTTTTAAAGCTACAAGTTGAGTGGTTTGTGAACCAGACTTCGGTAGATACAAGTAAAACATAAACAGTCTGCTCAAATGGTTTTAGTGTGCTTGGACCAGAACCCAGGCGCTCCTGCCTTCACACCTCACTTCCATCCAGTCCCTTGTTGAAATGCATCAGCACTGTCCCTTCATGCAGAGTTACAATTATTAGATATATATTTTGGGAAAAGTAAAAGTAGATGATGCTGATGCTAATGTTAAACCCCAAACTGAGTATATACGACTTTAAGGAAAACAGTCACTTATTTTAGTTGTCTGTTGAGAAGCTTTCTGAACTTTCTGATAGTATTCAATATTATACTTTTTAATACTTTTGGTGAGGGGGGGTGGCCATTTTTATCAGCAGACTTGTCACATATACCTACTATATAGAGTATTTTGTTACAGATCGGGGGCTATATTTTGATGATTAAAAATTTACTTAAATTTTTTTGATTTATAGAAAGCTGCTTCCAGGGTGAAAATCCCCTAGGTTGTTTGTTGAGAACTCACTCGCGTTCCTTCTTGGATCTCACAGTACAGAGTACACCTGTTTTTCCTTGTTGGAGTTTTTCCTACATAAATTTCTCTCTCTCACCTTGTTTTCTTCCAGGGAGAGACATCCCTTCTCACGGTCCTCACACGCTGAGCCTGATGCACAGTGGCAGGCAGGCAGTCTTTGAATGAACAAATTATATTTAGGTGAGGGGGGAAGGAGTCGAGCATGGGGGCCAGGCAGTCCGGATCTTGCTTCTCCCATCTGACCCGTGATTCCATGATTAGAGGAAGAATGGCTGTTTTGATGAGGTGACCCCTTGCCATAACTTTGTGGTTAAGAGTGTGTAAGCCTGTGTGTCAATCCCACTTCTGCCTTTTGCTGATCCACTCAACAGCCTTGTGCTGTAGATGCTAATGATTTTCCCCATTTTACAGAAGAGGTAATCGAGGCACGAGAGGTAACTTCTTCTTAAGGTCCCACAGCGAACCAACTGATGGAGCTTGGATATGTGTCCTGGCTTCTTTGCTCTCTTGCTTCTCATAGTCTGTCTTTGCCGATTAAATTATATCTGTAAATTGCTTGGTGTGAAGTAAATGCTAAATGCACAGTAACTAGATACAGATTATACTCACCAGCCCAAACTTGTGAGTACAGCGCAGGACCTTGGGACAAGTTACATTGCTCCCAGCAGCAGGAAGCTCCTGCACTACCTTTCAGAATTGTCCCCTCCTGATGTGACCTCTTGAATAGAATGTAATTGGCGCCACCTCCCTCAACTGATACAGTGTCTCTTCATCCTCCTTACACAGGATTCCTCAAAAAAAAGTTTTAACTCCTCTTCCCCGCTTGGTTCAGAGTTGAGGCCAGAAAAAAAATGAGTGTAGTGAACATGAGCGCCCAGATCCCAGCCTGGGGAGCGGCCGGGGAGTTGGATGGCTATGTGACTGTGCTGCCACCATTGGAACTGGGCGGTGCTCTCTTAGCCCACCTTCCTCTTTGTCCTTGCTCTCGAAGAACCTGTTACTCTCTGGCATCTTCTGTAAGTTCTTGACCTTCTACTGATAAGGCACGTCCCTCTGATTTTTCCAGTCTGGAAAGGATGAAAAGCCACTGCAGGAAAAGAAGGAGGGTGAAGGTAGTTTTTGAAGCCTGGGGGACAGAAGACAGGGGGAAATGGCATAGAATTAGAACTCTAGGAGAGACTTGTAAATGCTGACTTAAACCTTTGGGGCTGTTGTTTTTTTTTTTTTGCTGAGCAGTTATTAAGCACCTTAAGTAACACTGTCTTCCACTTCCTCAAAATCTTTTCTAGTCCCTTTGCTTAGTTCTTTTGGAACTTAAACCTCTGTCACTCTTGTTATTTGCATATTTAAATGTTATTTTGATGGCGCTCATCATGACCAGTGTGAACACACTGATTCTCTTATTATATGTCTTTTTATTTTCTTAGGGAAGGGAACTCAGAGAGCAGGGGCCAGTAATTGGCCTCTTCCATTAGGGTCAGTAATAGAGAGCAGGGGCCAGTAATTGGCCTCTTCCATTAGGGTCAGTAATGTTTCTGATCTTTTGAGTACGTCTTAAGACCTTGGGAGATTGCAGGCTAGAATCAGCTGAGGGAGGGAGGGAGGGTCAGGGGTGGCAGGATGTGAGAGGAAGCCACTGCTCAGGGAGGGAGCTCCCAGTAGAGAGGGCCCTGAGGAGGGAGCAGTGAGCAGCTGATGCAGGAGGAGACCCCAGGGAGATGCCAGGGAGGCAGGAAGATACTCTGTTTGAGGGGCATTGCTCGCCCCGACAGGGGTGTCAGAACGCCCTGGTCGGATTTGGAAACATTCAGCTTTGTTGGTGAGGCACTGCCTCTTCCCGGGGCTGTTCTTCATGGGTGAGTGATTGCAGCACAGACTTGACATTGGCCAACCCCAAACAGAGGCTGGGAGGAGCCCCTTATGGCACCTGTAGTTCCCACATAGTGCAAGCACGCTCCTGAAACTGGAGGCTGGCAGCAGAGACGCAAGACTAGCAGATTGCGTATAGTTCAGGGTGCTGCTGAAATACAGCTCCTGTTCCAAGAGTGGGCCCATTGAGGTAGGCTTGTTTGTTTTTTAATTGTTTACCTTTACATTTGCTTAACTTAAGCACAGTTACAAAAAAAAATTATACATGCCTTTTCATTGGGAATTATACATGCACATAAATCAAAACAATGTGTTAATTACTGTTGTCAAATTTCTGATTAAAGCCATAGCTTTTTTTATTGTTGGTAAATTGATCATCAGCTCTCTTCACTTGTTTTCTCCTTGTTTTCTGTTTCAGTTGCTGATATGTGTTCAAGATGAGTGGGATGGGAGAAAATACCTCTGACCCATCCAGGGCAGAGACAAGAAAGCGTAAGGAATGTCCTGACCAGCTTGGACCCAGGTTAGATTCTCACTGAGAACACAACCAGTATTGCCCATGAAAGCCACATGCATGAGCCTTTGATATTTTATCACATTGATTTCACACCTGATTCAAATGCTCTTTGGTTTTTCTCCCTGTCAAGCCTTTGGACAGTTATGTATTATTTAGCTTACATTTTAGATATGCTAATCGGTTACAGATTTTACTATTCTTTACAAGAAGAGGAAAGCTAGATACTTCTAGGTCCCCTGTGTACTTTGACTCTTAAAACCAGTTTATTCTATATAATCTTGAATTTTTCACATTTTTACTCCTGTTTGCTTTTAGAATGTCATAATGACAAGACAACCCATAGTAAAAAAAGTTTGCTGTTATATTTATACTGGCTTTTATTCTTTCTTTCTTTTTTTTTTTTTCTGCGGTACACGGGCCTCTCACTGTTGTGACCTCTCCCGTTGCGGAGCACAGGCTCCGGACGCGCAGGCTCAGTGGCCATGGCTCACGGGCCCAGCCGCTCCGTGGCATGTGGGATCCTCCGGGACTGGGGCACGAACCAGCATCCCCTGCATCGGCAGGCGGACTCCCAAGCACTGCGCCACCAGGGAAGCCCTTTCTTTCTTTTTTTTTATATTTAAGAGCAAGAAATGAAATGTTGAATCCCCTTGCTTTTGAATTGGTGATAAGGACTGTGGGTCTTCAGTGAATAAAACAAATAATTTTAAAACAAGTTGCATATCATATATTATGGGTGGAAGTATGAGTTGTTATAACCTCCGTGCAGGGTAATATAGCAGTATCTGTTAAAATTATAAATGCATATCTTCTTTTGAACTAGCAGTTCCATTCCTAGGAATTTTCCGACAATATACTTTGACACATGCAGAATGATGTATGTATGAGGTTGCCCATTTCAGCGTTGATTATAAGCACAAAAGATTAGGAAAGACCTAAATAGCTGTGATACATCCACACACAATATAGCTCTGAAAAAGGATGAGGACACTCTTTATGGATTGATTTTAACAGTATCAATATCTCTTAAGAATATTGTTATGGAGAAAAAGCAAGGTTCAAAAAGTCTTTATGGAGCCCTACCATTTGTATAGAAGAGAAGGAGAATAAGAACTCTACTCATTGCTTTTGGATAGTTAAGAAACAGAAGAGTTGTTACCCATGTGGGAGGATGAGGACTAGGCAAATAGGGAACAGGGGTAGAAAAGACACTTCATTCTTTTGATGATGTAAATCGTGCAAATGCTTTTTAAAAGTTAGACAGCCGGGCTTCCCTGGTGGCACAGCGGTTGACAGTCCGCCTGCCGATGCAGGGGACGCGGGTTCGTGCCCCGGTCCGGGAAGATCCCACGTGCCGCGGAGCGGCTGGGCCCGTGAGCCATGGCGGCTGGGCCTGCGCGTCTGGAGCCTGTGCTCCGCAGCGGGAGAGGCCGCAGCAGTGAGAGGCCCACGTACCGCAAAAAAAAAAAAAAAAAAATTAAAAGATCAAAATATGGACTAAGTTTTATGGGAGCTTGGAATGAGGGTAACTCCTAGGATCTAGAGAGCAGAGTTAATGGACTGTGTCACCAAGGCACTGCTGCCAAAGGGAATCAGCTCCACCTCTTGTCCATTTGGGGTCGTTCTACACAGTGGAATTCTGGGAAGAGCTTCTGATTGCCCTGGCGTAGCTCAGGAGCCCACCCCTTGGGAAGGGAGGGCAGAGCACCTGGATTGACAGGCCTTCCGATGGAGCCCAAGTAACTCCCAAAGTTCTGCTACCAAAAGAAGAGAACAGACTCTGCACAGGCAAAAAGAGTAGATGCCTGCTGCAGAGGGGGCCCCGTGAAAGCCGTTTCTCATCCAATGGGAGGACATATTATTAGAGGTATGGACAGGGTGCTGGGGGAGTACAGAGGGGGAGAGCTTTGAGAGAAGGAGGAAATTCACATATTAGAGAGCAGAAAAAGATGGGGTTGGACAGGTTGGGAGGAGCTGGATCATAAAGGGCTTTCTGTGGTGTATTTATGAGTTTGTACTTTATCCTGTGAATAATGGCTAGAGATTGAAGGATATTAACATAAAAAAGTTATTTTAGAGATATTCCTTGGCTGGGGAGGCCGTGGACAGATTGGGTGAGAGAAGAGTGAGGTCATCAATTAAGAGAAATGCAGGGCTTCCCTGGTGGCGCAGTGGTTGAGAGTCCGCCTGCCGATGCAGGGGACACGGGTTCATACCCTGGTCCGGGAAGATCCCACATGCCACGGAGCGGCTGGGCCCGTGAGCCATGGCGGCTGAGCCTGCGCGTCCGGAGCCTGTGCTCTGCAACGGGAGAGGCCACAACAGTGAGAGGCCCGCGTACCCCCAAAAAAAAAAAAAAAAAAAAAAAAAAAGGACAGCCACTTCTGTCCCGTGGCCAGTAGAAAGATCCCATGAGAAACGGTAGGGAAGAGGACTAGGAAAAGAAGGAGGAAGAGCAGAAAGCCATTCCGTCTTCCCCGTCTGGTCGCCAAGCAAAACAAGCAGCTCAAATGGCCATCGTCCACACCGCAGCCCCCATCTCCTGTGTGTGGCCTCTAGGTTCCCTGAGCCTTCCTGGCCAGCCTCAGCCTTCTGTCTGTCAAACCGCCTTCAGGGCCCGGCGGTCCTGGCTGAGGAGGCCAGCTGGTACATGGAGCCTGTTCTCTCACCAGTGCTCTGCTGGTTCTCGGGATGAGCACAGCGCTTGCCTCCCCCGGGCCTTGGAGCACAGCCCCTCCTTCCCACCCATGTGTCATTTCGTTGGCATCTTTGGGGGGCAGGGGTGATGGAGGGAGGTGAAGGGGGTAGAGAGGTTCAGAATGGGAACTTAGCTCTTCTGCGCATGGCAGCCACTGTCTCCCTTTCCCTGGAATTATTAGGGTGGAAGCCAGGATTGAAGATGAGACTTAGCAACACCAATTCTGGTCGCTGCTCTACCAGTCACTCACTAGGTGATCTTGGACAACTCGTGCAACCACGATAAAGTGGAGAGATTGTGTTCTATCTTAGGTTTATTAGCACATGAGAATAAAGCTAATATTTAGAGGCAAACATATCAATGTCTACTACACATTACAAGATTTTATAAATTGGCATTAATACAAATAATTATATATTAAGAATACAGAGAGCTGCTGCATTAAACAACTTGCTTTTCTTATTTATTGTATTGTTTGAATATCATCCAGTGGACTCTACCGTACCTGAGAAAAAAATTGTATGCTGTAATTACCAAAGGGAACTTTTGAGTTTGCTATTTCCTCAAATTCAGATGAGGAGATCTTGCCAATTTTTATTTTTTCCCTCCCTTCCATTAACGTTCTCAAACTCAAGTCGAACTTGGACCATTTGTTTACGTTTTGCATGTCATTCAGCTTGGACAGTTAACAAAGACCCTGGGCCAGTTTCGCTTTTGTTTCTAGCTGTACTGTGGTTTTTAACGTTATCTTAAAAGGCCGTTAGGTTTGATTATGAACATCCTAAAGAAGTCTATGAAATCATAAAGATTTATTTTCATCATTTTGCTGTGCTTTATCAAAAATCATTGAAGTTTATTTATTCCTACTTTAAGTAGGTTAACTTCCCTTCTTTTATTAATCTTAAATAAATTTTTATAAGCGTGAGCTCCCTTATGTTTCTAAAACTCTTCTTTACTTATTCAACAATGAATTTGATACCTCTTTGTTACCAAGCGTTGCATTAAGCACAGTGGTGAGCAAATCATCCTGTCCTTGTCCTTGTGAAGCTTACAAGTCCAGTGGGAGACATGAAACACGTTGAACAAATGATCACACGAGTCAATATGTAATTACCAACTGGGGTAAGTTTGATTTCAAAAACAAAACATGCAACATTTAGGGCAGATTCGAGGGTTTTTTTCCACCAAAGTATTCCATGTTTCTCTAAGTAACTTTTGTTTGCTCTCTTTATATTAGAACTTGGTTAACATGCTTATCTTTTTCGTAATAGCCCCAAGAGGAGCACTGAGAAACGTAATCGTGAACAGGAAAATAAATATATTGAAGAACTTGCAGAGCTGATTTTTGCTAATTTTAACGATATAGACAACTTTAACTTCAAACCTGACAAATGTGCAATCTTAAAAGAAACTGTGAAGCAAATTCGTCAGATCAAAGAACAAGGTAAGAGGAGTGAATGAATATTTTGGAGAGTTTAGTGGGTTTCTCTTTTTCCATGTGTGAGAAGTCCCTTCAGAGTCCCTTTAATCCATTTCTTGGGTTTAAATTATTGATGAGAAGGTGATGTCACAGGGCAAGATGAATGCAGGTATCACTTGCAGTGGTTTATAAATAGGCTTTATATAAAATTCAACAGTTCCCTAAAGACAGAGGGGCCGAGGTGAGGCAGGGTGATGTAACTTTACATCCAGTTAAACTCAGTCAGGTGCCCACCGATTCCCCTCCCCTGCCTTAGGATCGATACAGCTTACACAGCAAGTGACTGTCATAATTTGCAGGTAAGGAGCCAACCGAGGATGGAAACCAGAAGTAAGGGAGTGAAGCACCTCCTGCTTCAGCTCGTCAGCATATTGAAGTGTGAGCCTCAGCTGGCCACGCCACTCAATTAGAGTTTCATATCCTGAGTGACAAGAGATAGATTGGAAAGGTTCAACCTCTAGATAGAATTCTTTTGTGAAGTTGAAACACAGAACATGACAGCTTTCTTCCTGGGGTTTTCTTTTCTTTTCTTTCTTTCTTTCTTTTTTTTTTTTTTTTTCCTGAGATCATTTTCTGCCTCTCTTCTTTGATATTTTTGCCTACAGAAAAAAAATTTTTAAAAATAATGTTTTAAAATTCACATTGGACTTTGTAGTGCCAAAAAAAATCTGTATTAGGCAGGTACGAACAGCGTCTTGGTGCCCAGGGCCAGTATATGCTCCTGAAGTCCTTATACACTGCTTTCCTTCAGGAGATAATAATCTCCTGTAATCTGTTTTTGAATGCATCCTCTTAGAGTTCATATGATTTTTTTCTCTGCCTTTTATATAACATTTAAAAGAGGCAGATTTTAGAAAAATGTCTTTGTCTCTATAGCTATGTGAACCCAAAACTTTGCAAGTATAGTTCTGTCTTCTAAGAACTGAAACATATACACATAGCATCTACCGCGCAGTTTCTAACACCAGCCCGCTCTGAAAGTTAGTATTTCCTGGTTTCTCCATCAAAATTATATCATCGTAACATTCAGCTTTCATGGACTTTCTACTCAGTTGCATGCCTCAGTCGCCTTCATCTCTTTCCTATTCCTTTTGTTCCTTTTGAGATTCACTAGTTATCAACAATTCAGTTTAATCTCAATTTGGTATCAGCAAATGGATAAAATGGTATTCCTAAAATTTTTAGGAGAAATAACTGGTTCAAGGTTAACAGTGCTTTGAAGTTGCTGCATTTCTAGGTGCTGGTATCGTTGCAGTGGAGAAATCATTAAGCTTCTTGTTGCCCCTTTCTGCGGATTTTGAATGATTCGATTTTGTGAACATCCCACGTTAGGTAGAACTTTCACACTTGAAAACAGTTACATGTGTATGTATTTTACTATCAAGATCTTGCACAGGGTTTTACAGTTTTGCAAAAACTTGGTTATTCCCCCCTTCAAACCATAAAACACGTTAAGATGTGTCACGCTGGGACTCTGCCATACTTTCTCTGTGGGTGTAATGAAGGCCGCCATGCCAGGACCACCCAAGAAGCAGCGACAGTAAAAACCCTGTCACGTCTCCCTCTTACAATATTGTTTCCATTAATTTGAAAAGTAACGTGTTTTGAAAAGGGAAGCAGAAGTTAAAACCCAAATGAAAAGTACAAGTACACTTTTAACTTCTCGACCAATCTAATATTTTAAGAATATTGCTTGTTTAATAAATTGTTTTTTAGAGAGAACAGGGACCTTAGAATCAAATCGGGTGGAGGCTAGGTATGAATCCTGGTTCTGTCTCTTACAAACTTTTTGAACCTGGACAAATTATTTTCTCTCTCTGTGACTCAGTTTCCTCACATAGAATTTAGCAGTCACAACATCTAGGTTGCACGGTTGTTGAAGAAATTAGGAGCTACTTAAATGCTCCCAGCAAGTACTCATCACAGTAAGCGTTTAGTACGTATTCAGTAAATATCTTTCCCACATTCAGTAGGAAGGCACCTTTTTTCTTCACCTATGCTCAGATCTTCATACAGTGAGCTCTTCCTTCAGATGGAAAGCAGGGGAAAAAAAGGTGGGGAAATGGTTATGAATATGCTCCCCTACAGGGTCATTTGAAGAAAGTCACATTTTTTTCTGGGGCCAGAGGACTCCGCATCCACCGACAGCTCTGTGCGGCCACCTTGATCTCTCTCAGCAGCTGGCAGCCAGCTAAGGTTCAAGAGCAACACATAGGTCGGATCGGAACCCTTCCTTCTCCCTCTGTGTGTGTCCACCCACCCACCTGTCAATCAGTGTAAATAGAATCCAACCATCATCTTTACAGTGTCATCCAAACTTAATTTGTATTGCAGTCGCAGGTATCAGACTGAATAAAATCCTAACTGTCCTGAAGAGTTAAGCTGGATTGCGTGAGGTGCAACTAAAGGCTACACAGTCAGGAAAGCAGGCTCCTGTGAAAGGAACCCGCCAGCGTCCAAAGCTCAGGCAGCTCAGCCAGGCAGGATGGGCTCTTTCACTCGAGTCTGCTCGGTCATCAGCTGCTCCTCACGTTTCCGTAGGCTTGGGAACAAAGGCAGAGAATGATGGATATTTTTAAGTGGCCTGAAGGATGGGGTTTTGGAGGGGGGTTACCAGCTATCTAAATGATTAAACCTCCCTTGTCTGTAGCACTTTCTGAGACCTGTGTTTGGTAGACGCTAGCTCTCCAAGAGCATCACACGGCCGTGCACCTTGTAGTAGCAGACCAAGTGCACACAGAGTCTGCAGTTCAACCATAACACCAGCTTTTTGATATTGAAGTGGGGTGTTTCTTCCTATGTGGTATGATGCTGGTAAATGTGGAAAACATCTGGTGTCTGTAACTTACAAGGAATAGTCATAAGTACTCATCACAGTAAGCGTTTAGTACGTAAACGCTTTCCTAAATGGGAAGACTAATATTGCTTCTATTTCACAGAAGAATAATAAGTAATATGAAAAATACAAATGATTTAATTATGGATTAGTGAGTCCAGTTTCACACTCCTTAGCTAGAAACTTAAATTTTAAAATTCCTATGGAAAATACATGGCGATTCCTGTGCTCTTAAAAAATAAAATTGAAGCATAAAGTGAGTCTCCTCTATTACCCCAACACTTTTTGTTCTTTTTTCTAAAATAATAATCTAAAATGAACTGTATTGTTTGGAAAACATTTGTCACTTCATTTAAAGCCTCTTTAGTGCAGCATATTTTTTCATAAGATTTTTTTTCTTAATATTATTTTATCATCATTTATTTTTGGCTGCACTGGGTCTTTGTTGCTGCGCACGGGCTTTCTCTAGTTGCAGCAAACGGGGGGGCTACTCTTCGTTGTGGTGCGCGGGCTTCTTGCTGTGGTGGCCCGTGGGCTTCAGAGCGCAGGCTCAGCAGCTGTGACGCACGGGCTTAGTTGTTCCGCGGCATGTGGGATCCTCCCGGACCAGGGCCTGAACCCACATCCCCTGCAATGGCAGGCGGGTTCCCAACCACTGCACCACCAGGGAAGCCCAGTGCAGCATATTTGAGTATGGGATGTACTTATCAGTCAGTGGAGAATTGGTTTCACCCTTTCATTATTATTTTTCTGAACGTGAATAGCAATAAGAATGAAAAGGTATATTTCAGAAATTCACATTGGTGCAGGCTAGATTTGCGGGGGAGGATTTCTTGTTGAATCAGGCAACCTAAAAGATCGTTCTGGTTTCTCATTGTGATTCTTCTAATGATTTAATTTTGATTGTAGTGCCAGTGTGAGAACGTTGGGATTACAGATTGGTTCATACGTGTAAATTTCCCCTACAGTTGCACATAGCATCAAAAAATAAGTATTTTAAGAGAGGGTGTGGGGCGGTGGTGTGCTGGAGTCAACTGGTTATCAAGCAATGAGAGCCAATTATTAAATTTCAAGAATTTTATAAGCCACTTGATAAGCACAGCCATTATTAAAAATTGTTTAGATGTACAATTAAATTATATTTAAAAACACAAAGGTAAGGAAGACTAAAACTCGTCATTTCCTAATTATTGTACTGCATTTGACTATTATCTTTGCTCTAGCGGCCTTTTGTGTCTTGTGTCTACATCATAGAAATACTAGGTAGTGGTGGTTACTGCGAATCTCTAATTAACATCTAATATTTTTAACATTAGGTAGACATTACATGCACACATAAAAAATACTGTCCACTTCAGCAAAAAAGTCACTTACAAACTGACAATTGAATTTCTACGTTCCATATCTTCATCATGTATTTTCATTATTTCGCTTTTGTCTTATTAACTTAAATGAAAGTTTCAAACAGCATTCATGTCAGAACTATATTCTTTCATCAGCTATAATTATAAGTTAGCTACAAGACAAGAGTTTGGCAAAAATCAACAAACATTCTATTAGAATCAATTGGCTGTCTGGAATTTACAGTAAAGGGTGTTGTATATTTTATTATCATTTGTAAATTATATACTCCACATACTTTGTACTAGTAAAATTTGTAATCAGCATTATGGTGCTTATTATTTTTTCCCCCAAGGAGCTGGTTTTTAAGCATTTCCCAGTATACCACTGGTGGGCATAGGAGGTTGTCTGGTAAATGTAGGTGCGTCAAATTCATGAACTCATTATTTTAAAATTCAAGGGAATAGCAATGGAAACAACCTAATTCTAGCACATAAGAGTAAAATGTAGAGCCCTTTAAGATTATACTTTTCCTTCCAGTTTTTTTTCCCCCCATGTTAAATACATGAGGTTCTTGTGATGGAAATTCAATTATTCAAAGCTGACGCCTAGGTGTGAACTAATAGCTGTCACCAAGCAGAGTAAGCAGAAGGGCTGCGATATCAGATCCCTTCCAGGGGTAGGATATCTGTAAGTCAGGCTTTGGGGTGATGCTTCCAGGCATTGTTTATGTTCCATGTGATGAAATCTTAGGGTGATGGCAGAGTCATCCATTGCCTTGGAAAGG